TCTGCCCTAGGTCTTTATTTCAGTGCATGGACTTTTTCTAGTTGCAGAGCATGGGCTCTAGTGTGTGAGGCTCGGTATTGGTGGCTTCAGACTTAGTTGCTCCACAGCATGTGAGATTCTAGTTCCCTGACCAGAGATTGAAGCCCCGTTCCCTGCATTGAAAGGTGGATTCTTAACCACCAGACCACCATGGAAGTCCTCCAGCCCCAGACTTTTTTTGCTGGGAGGTTGTTTTTCTTTTTTCTTTTTTTTAATTATAAATTCCATTTCACTGTTAATGATTGGTCTTTTCAAACTGTCTATTTCTAATATTAATGAATTTTATTAAGTTTTCATGTTTTAGTTTTGTAATACTTTTTTGGCTGTCATAGATCTTCATTGCTGCATACAGTCTTTCTCTAGTTGTGGCGATTGGGGAGCTACTCTTTACTGCAGTGCTCAGACTTCTCATTGCAGTGGCTTCTCTTGTTTTAGAGCGTGGGCTTTGGGTTGCACAAGCTTCAGTAGTTGCAGCATGTGGGCTTAGTAGTTGTGATGTATAGGCTTAGATGCTCTGTGGCATGTGGGATCTTCCCAGACCAGGGATAGAACCCATGTTCCCTGCATTGTCAAGCAGATTCTTAACCACTGGGATACCAGGGAAGTCCATGAATGCATTTTTAAACACAGTGCATAGTGAAAAATATGAGGAAACAAAATGAGATTTAAACACTACCTGATTTACATAAATTAAAAATACATCTAGGCTTAACAAAAATCCATTATTTTGTAAGAACATATGCAAACGAAAAGTTTTACATCAAATAGAAATTAGTTGCTAGTGTGGAGAAGGAAAAGGGAATAAAAGGGAAAAAACAAGTACCAAATAAAATTTGAGTGATAATCACTGACCAAAGAAGATAAAGTGCCATGTTCTGAGGAGTATGAATAGCTAAACGCTTTCAACCCAAAGTTATACCAATCAACCAATGAATGAATACAAAACTGGAAGAAAAGAAAATAAATATGGCACAGATGTCTCTGGATTTGTAAATAAAATGTTTTTTCTTAATGTGTTTGCAGATACTAATTTTTTTTTTACATTAAGCACCTGTTAATTTTGAAAGTTTGAAAGAAAAGCTCAACCTGGAGGAAGATGGTTCAGTGACAGAATGGTGGTGTTAACAACACAAAATCCTGGAGAAGGAAATGGCAACCCACTCCAGTATTCTTGCCTAGAGAATCCCATGGACAGAGGAGCCTGATGAGCTAGTCCACGGGGTCGCAAAGAGTCGGACATGACTTGGCGACTAAACAACTCAGATTCTCCGGGTAATTTCATTGTTAGTAACCCGATATTAGAATGTTTTCTTTATTACTCTTTTTTTCTTTTGTTCCAGTTGAGACAGAATCTCATCAAATCCCGACATCTCTCCTCGGGAGAGAATGTCATAGGCCAAGGGCGTGGGCAGGGCTTGAGGAGAGAGCAGTTATTAAACGGAACTCTCTCTGTGTTCATTCTTGTTGTATTGAAGTTAAGAAGCAAGATGACTGGCAATGGGATTCCTTCTCAGGATCACGTTTGCTGCCACATTAGTTAATATCAGAGCACTTTAATCTGAAGGATGATACTGTAACTTGATTGAACTAATTCACTTTTAATTATCGATAGCTGTTTTATTTAATACCCTCCTACATACTGGGGACCACCGTAAACCTCTCAGACGACTTGTTATTTTTGTAGCATTACGAGATTTATTTACATCCCTATAAAGAGAACTGGATGTTCGCTTGAACTCCGGAGATACACGTGTTAAAAAAAAAAAAAAACACAAAATCCTAGAAGGAAACACAAAAAAATTTCAGCCTGTGTGCAAAATGGATGGAACTATACATAAATTTTTGTTAAAATTACATTAATTTCTGCAATAATATTTATATAATTGATTCATATAAAGGTAAAAAAATTAACAAAGGTAAAAGCAGCAACTTTAAAAATATATGTAAATGGATCTGTTTTTGGAGGGGCCATGCCACATGACTTATGGGATCTTAGTTCTCCCACTGGTGATTGAACCTGTGCTCTTGGTAGTGAAAACGCAGAGTCCTAACCATTGAACTACCATGGAATTCCCTAAAATGGATCTTTATTATTTACTATTCCCCAAAAAGTCTGCATGAAGATCATTATCTTTATCTGGTGATATGTGAAAATATATAACAACTGGACATATGCCTGGCCAATCAGAGCAGATATTGGTAGTAAACAGTGCTCCTATTAGACTGGCAACCCTAAAACATAAGATTCCCGTACACCAGCCCTGCAGTCTCGAGACTGTGTTCAGACTCAGCACCTGAAGCCTTGCTCTTTTTCATCATGAGAAGACTCTTATGTTACAGAAACAGGTATAAAGATGAAAAGTGCAAAGATATGCTACCCCAAAATATGCCACTTTGGCATTAGGGTTACTTTGAACTAAAGGGACTTGAAAAACAGAAGATACAAAAGGGACACTTTGATCTCCCCTTTCCTCCTGAACACATGAGATAGAACTCCCACATAGGAGCTGCCCTTCACATACCAGGAGAAAAGAAACAGTCTTATCAAACTGAGACCAAGAGAATTCTACCCAAACTGACATTGTTAAAATAATTCTTATCTTCCTTCAGCCTCCCTGTACATTTTAGTTACTTCTCCACAATTGCCTCTCTTTGTTTAACCTGTATTAAAGCATTTAGGTTTTGCCACTTCTTTGGGTCTTCATTTCCTTATGAGGGCTCCCTTGTCACATAAAACTTACATTGAATAAATTTGTTTGTTTTTCTCTTGTACAACTGTCCTTTTATCTTTACCTTGCCCCACCCCGCCATCCCCACTCCATACCTACAATATCACATGTAATTTCAGTCCATGAAACAGAAGACTCACTTTTGTACAAACTCTAATTTCCAAAAAGCTTCTGATTTCCTTTGGGGCCACATGTGTTTCAAGAATTCATACTTAGACTGGATTTTACAAAGATAGCTCTAAATTGGTGTTTTTGAACTGTGGTGTTGGAGAAGACTCTTGAGAGTCCCTTGGACTGCAAGGAGATCAAACCAGTCAATCCTAAAGGAAATCAATCCTGAATATTCATTGGAAGGACTGATACTGAAGCTGAAGCCCCAATACTTTGGCCACCTGATGCAAAGAACTGACTCATTAGAAAAGACCCAGATTCTGGACAAAATTGAAGGCAGTAGGAGAAGGGGATGACAGAAGTTGAGATGGTTGGATAGCATCACCGACTCGATGGACAGGAGTTTGAGAAAGCTCTAGGAGTTGGTGATGGACAGGGAAACCTGGCGTGCTGCAGTCCTGGGGTCACAAAGAGTTGGACAGGACTGAGTGACTGACTGAACTGAAGATAGCTCAGCACTTTTCTTTCTACACTACAAATAACCCAGCAGGATCTGGGACGGGATCTTATAAGCAACATAGCAGAGGAGTAAGATATGGAGATCATCTTCCTCCCCACAAATACATCTGCATTTGGAACAACTCCTACTGAAGAGCTCAGACTTCACCTGTCTTACATTAAATTCTCAGGCTCAGCTGAAGACCCTAAGAGGGAAGAGGTAATGTTTTGCCTTCCCTGCAAAGGCAAGTTTCCCAAACCAGAATATTCCAAAGATTCTAAGGCCCAGAAGCTACAGCAGACTCCAAGCTACAGGAAAGAAGGAAGAAGGAATTGTTGCTACTCCTCCGCGACTTCACCACCCCATTCCTATCACCCAGGTGCCGTGCTTTTTGACACTGAAATTTGATTCACGCGTTTCTTTCTCTGGGCTTCGTTGGTGGCTCAGATGGTAAAGAATTTGCCCGCAGTGCAGGCAAACCAGGTTCAATCCCTGGGTCAGGAAGATCTAGAGAAGGGAATGGATACCCACTCTAGTATTCTTGCCTGGGAAATCCCATGGACAGAGGAGCCTGGCGGGCTACAGTCCGTGGGGTCACAAAGAGTTGGACATGACTGAGTGACTAACATTACTGTGTTCCAGACTCAAATTTGTAGCCCTGTGCTATCATGTGATAATTGTGTCTGGGCTTGAAGCTCCAGCTAGACTAGGATTGGTCATCGGTGTAGTCCTAGTTAAATGAAGGAAGGAGTCAGCATTTAATTCTCACAGCTGAGTTTGCAAATGTGAAAAATGAGGCCCAGAAAAGTTAGATTACTTGTCCAAGTTACTACAGTTGGTAAGTAAGTCGGGCCAGGAATCAACCACGATGACCTTGAGTACCTGGCAACCACATTAGTTAGCTTCTTAATATGAAGAGGCTGTCACACGTCATTCAACTGCTTGTTGGTATATTTTTTGAGAAAATTTTTAAAAGAGAAAAATTATGATTATCTTCATTAAAGGAATATTTTTTTTTCCCATGTGGGACTTGCCTACTATCTGTATTCAATAGTAATACTCACTCATTCAACAGTCTAATGCAATGGAAGGATAATCTTTGGAACCAGACAAACTTGAATTCAGATACTGGCCCCGTCCCTCACGGGCTGACCTGAGCAAGTGACTTCCCTGCTCTTAGCACTTCCTGCATCTGTAAAAGGGAGATAATAATGGTATCCTGGCTTCTCTGGGGGTTAAATGAGCACATTGCAGGAGGAAATTGATAGGAAAGTGCTTTGTGACCTGTTAAGAGCTATGTGAATGCATATAATGATGTTGTGTACCAGTGGTACAGAAAAGTACCAAAACATAAAACCAGCTAACCTGCAAACAAGTAATAATTAATTAAAAAATTAGGGCCCCAAACAGCAGAGAAGCAAAAGGAGTTTCACAAAGTATCATTGTTTAAGAGGAAGTCCGATTTTGCTTTTAAGTGCTGATACACCTGCAAGAAGAAAACATCAAATAGCATTCCCACAAATATGACTATCAGAACTGCTCAGTAAATACTAAATAATATAGATATTAAAATAAAATAAAATTATTGTATATACTGGAATAAATTGAGAGTGAGGCTTGAGTTTATAAAGAAGCTCTTTTACTGTCAATTAATTTTATAAACACCATGAAAATGATAGTAGTAATAGCTACTACTGGTTGACTGAATATTTATATCAGGCACTTTATACACATCACTAATTTAATCCTTAAAACAACCTCATGAAACAGGTTTCCATTGACAAGAAAATAGAAGCCCCTAAAGTTGGTGGGACTTTCCCAAAGACATACAGAGCGAAGATGATAGGATAGAAATACAAATTCAGTGTTCATTCAAAAAGAGCAAGTAATTTTGCTCCCTAGATTTTGTTCAAACTCCTGAACATTCTTCCTTCTAAGCAGTATCATTTGCCTCTGAGTGGGGACCACCTTTTACCCAGCTATAGTTCATCCTTCCGGTCAACACAGACTTCTACATTTTCACCCAGAAATGCTCTTTCATCATCATCTTCCTTCAGCTGCCTGTCATTTCCTGATTCCTCAGCAGAATCTTCTTCACTTCCCTTTTCTTCAATTCCCCAAATGTCATATTCCCTTTCCTCTTTCTTCTTGGCCTCTTCTTCCTGTTTTCTTTTTTCCATTTCTTCATACAGTTCTCTCCATTGCTTCTCTTCATCCTCTTTAGAGTATGAAATTTCAAAATAGTAATTTACAGATGCTATAAACAAAGTTGAATCACTTTAGAAACATCTGGCATCTCCCCACACACTTAAAGATTTGTGGTATGGTGTTTATTTACATACAAATTTTTAGTATGTGTGGAGTGGAAAGAAGTATGCGTGTGTATAATTTGTTCATAAATAAAATTGGTTCAGATTCAACAAACATTTACTCAGTGCCTACAGCACTGCTAAGCATGGTGTGAGACAATATACACATGCTATTTCTATTCCTTACAGCAACGTACAAGGTCGCATTTTCTAGGAATATGAGGTTCATATTGATTAAATGACTTGCCCAAGCTATACAGTTACTGAGTTGTGGAACTAAAATTAGAAATCAGGTTTTCTGGTTCTGAGTTTGACCCTCTTTCTGCTATATTACTGTAAAATAGTTTTTTGTTTGTTTGTTTGTTTGTTTAGGAAGGAGACGTAAGCGCCTGGCTGGCCACTGCATTCTCCTTCCCCTGCAAAAAAACTTGTATTTTCATCTAGAACTTGTAAAAGATAGCCCCTCGAGCAGTAACAGAAGGGAAAATGAAAGAAATTAAACCCGGGAAAAAAAAGTCAGAGATTGGAAAACAACACACAGGAGAAGAGGGCGCAAGGCGAGATGAGATGGTGAACATCAGTGACCAGGGGCTTGTGTGACACACGTGTGTGTGTGCTCAGTCAGGTCTGGCTCTCTGAGACCTGATGGTAGTCCACCAGGCTCCTCTGTCCATGGGATTTTCCAGGCAAGAATACTGGAGTGGGTGGCCATTTCCTTCTCCATGTAAAATAGTTTTAATGAAGCTCTTTGAGTTTGCTCTTTTTTTTTTTTTTTTAGGTTTTATTTGTTTATTTTTTGCTTTTGTTTGCATTACTCTAGGTAGGACACAGTTTAAAAAATATTGCTGGGATTTATGTCAAAAATAAATTCACGTTGAATTTGCTTTTGAACTATAGCAACTACAAGCTTGCAGTCAGAAGTGGGATTCTGTGATCTCTAATGGGTCACCCGGGTTCTAGAATTCAATCCTTAGAGCCATTATCATAAACTTTACTGCTCAGAGGGCCCTTAAAGAAAGGACAGAGTTAGAACTCCTCTAGGTCTTTAATCCTCAACATAGAGAATCTAGGCCGAGTAGTCTTTTACCCAGCCCTGGGAGACAAAGCTAGATTGAGAAACTGCATGCCCCATAGGCTGGGGCCCTCAACAATCCTACTGGGAGCAAATGCTTGACATCTTGTTGTGTTTGCCTCATTGTGTTGAGGGGGCATACTCTCTCTTTCAGTCAAGCCTTCATTTTCTTGTGCCTGGAAAGCACTGGCCACAGTTAACGTTTCTATTTCTTTATTTCCCTCTCACTGCTCTACTCACTGATCTGTTTCTACCCTCCATTCTTTACCAAAGCAGATCTTGCCAAAGGTAACCAAACTCTACCAACTCCTCAAGCCCTCCTGGACCTATAATAATCCATTGAACCATTTCCTTTTCATTGGACCTCATCTAACTCATACCTTCACTATCCTCCTTTCTGTATTTTTATGTGATTACTCTCTTGCAAATATCTTCAACTCCCTTGCCCTTCCCTCCCTTAGTTGGACAGGTCCTCAAATCTGATTAATTCGTTTGCCATGCCTGCACCTAAGCAGAGAGAATGACTAGATAAAATAATAAAAACAAACTGATTGTCATTTTAAATTCATTAAAACTGAACTCAAGTGAGACCCTAGTGGTAACTGGTGAGCCTACTATAGTTCTGTGTTTGATTCACTCTCCTTCTTTTCCCCTGGAGCCATGTTGGGCTAACAAGGTTTTCTCAGAGCTGCACTGTATTTAGCTATAATTCCTACCCAACCCTCCTTTCCCTTTCTCCTTTCAGAAGTGCCTATTCCTACACCCTCTACCCTTCATCTTTCCCAGGCATTACTCGCAATAAATCACTTACATTTCTAACACCATCTTGGTGTCTGTCTGCTTCCCAGAGAATCCAACGACATGTACTGTCACCACCACATCTACCCACCTGCCTATATTTTTTCTATAGTCATTCCTTTTTTTCCTGTCATTATGGATGAAATATCTGTACTCCTATGGGAAGCCAGTGCACCTTGAGCACTAGATCTCACCCACTTTCATAGTCTCAAGAACAGTGCTCTATCAATTCTTCTCTTTTTCTCCAATATTGTTTTTCTCTTTATTGTATCATTCCCATTAACATAAAAGCAGGCACATTGGTCAAAAAGTCTTGACCAACATTTCCCTTTACCTGCCACCCTATTCTCTCTACCCTTTTTTTTTACCACAAAACTCCTCGAAACACTAGTTTATACTTATGTCTCTGGTTGTTCTTCTTTCATTCTTTTTCAAATCCATTTTTTCCCTGTACCTCTTCTCTGAAACTGCTCTTGTCAGAGTCACCAATGAATTCCATGTTACTAAATTCAGTGGTCCCTTCTAAGTCCTCATCTTTATTGACCATCCAATACGATTGATCACTCCTTTTCCCCTTAAAATGCTTTCTTCACTTGGTCAACAGGATACTCCTCTGGTTCTCTTCCTACCTCATCGGCTACTCTTTCTGTCTTCTCCACTGGTTCCACTTTCTCTCCCTGATCTCTAAATACCGGGGTGCTCCAAAGCTCTTCAGGATTCCTTGGTGACTCAGACGGTAAAGAGTCTGCCTGCAGTACAGGAGACCGGGGTTCGATCCCTGGGAAGGGAAGATCATCTAGAGAAGGAAATGGCCACCCACCCCAGTATTCTTGCCTGGAAAAATCCCATGGATTGAGGAGCCTGGCGGGCTACAGTCCATGGGGTCACAAAGAGTAGGACATGACTGAGTGACTTCACTTTCTTTCCAAAGCTCATCCTTGAATCTTCCTTCTATATCCCCCCTTCATAGGGGATTTCATCCAGAGTCATGGGGCTTCAAGTATTACCTGTAGGATGATGACTCTCAAATATACTATTATATCTCTTATTTAGGCTGTATCCAGTTGCCTCATTGACATTGGATTTCTAATCATCATATCTGACTTAACATTTAATAATATGTTATTTGTTTCTGTCGCCACTCCTACACCAAATATGCTCCTTCCTGTTCTTCCCTATCTCAATAACTCCACCCTTCTAATCACTGGAGTCAAAAGCTTTGCAGCCATCCCTCTTTACTCCCACTCACATTTTGTATCTAATCCGTCATTCCTGTGAATTTTGCCTTCAAAATGAATCTAGAATCTGAACATTTCTGTCTTCACCACCACCACTCACTTCTGCCTTTATTCCTACAGTCTTTTACAACACAGCAACCAGAGTAACACATTCATCTATGAGCCAGTTCATATCACTCCTTTGCTAAAAATGGCTCCCCATTTTATTCAGAGAAATGGTGGCAACTACTCTCTTTCTCTCACTCAGCACTATACACTTTCCTTCTTACTCTTTCTTGGATAATTTTCCTTCTTACTCTTTCTTGGATAAGCAAGTTATGCTTCTATTTCAGGGACTTTGCATTTGCTGCTCTCTCTACCAGAGGCTTTTCTTCCCAAATATCTGTGTGGTTTGCTCCTTATTCCTCCAAGTTACTTAAATGTTGCTTACTCAACAAAGCATCTCCTGAGCAAAGAGCAAAATCCCCATGATGACAGGCCTCACTATTGCTTTTTTGTCCTCTGTAGTTTATCTCACCATCTCATCATATATATTTACTTCTTTATATGTTTCTTGTTGGTTTCCCCTGAATGTAAACCCCATGAGGGTGGAAACTTTTCTGTTTTATTTCACTGGCATATCCCCAACAACTACAATAGTGCTTTAAACAGGTACTCAACAAATATTTGCCAAGTGAATATACAGGTTAATAATAATAAGTACCATTTATTGATCAGTTACTATATGCCTGTCATCATGGGGATTTTGCTCTTTGGTCAAAAGAGGCTTTGTTGAGTAAGCAACATTTAAAGGCTTCCCTGGTGGCTCAGATGGTAAAGTGTGTGCCTGCAATGCAGGAGACCTCGGTTCGATCCCTGGATTGGGAAGATACTCTGGAGAAGGAAATGGCAACCCACTCCAGTACTCTAGCCTGAAAAATTCCATGGACAGAGGAGTCTTGTAGGTTACAGTCCATGGGGTCGCAAAGAGTCAGACACAACTGAGAGACTTCGCTTTACTATGTGCCAGGGACTTATAAGATAATTGCTATCTTATTCACAATTTATAGATGAGGAGACTGAAGAGGTTAAATAACTTGCCCAAGATCCTACAGCTAGCAAGTAACAGAGCCTGGATTTGAACCTAAGCAATCTAGCTCTAAAACTCATGTTCTTAACCAATATGTAATATTACCTCAATAAAACAATGTTAGATGATAACCTCAAAATAAAAATAAAACCAAACTAAAAAGTGTAAAAATGTCTAACTTTTATTTTTTTCTATGGTGACTGTATCACTGCCTCTTTGAAAAGTTTAAATACTAAAGTTCTCTCAAAAATCTCTTTATGATGCCTGTGCTTTGCTACTGATGTAAGCATGGGCCTAGTCTGCCTTTAGGGTAATCAGGCTTTGGCCACAAACCTGCTTCAATGGCCCTTCCTGCAGAACCAGGAGGTCTGGATGAAGGGCGGCTCCATTAAGAAGCTATTGTCCCAAGTATCACTCCACCCATAAAATAGTTCTAGGAGAGCAGGGAAGCTGGTAGAGAGCACTAACACCTTGTTTCCTTCTACAAATCATCCATCAGAAATGGCTTCATTGGCTTCCTGTGAGCAGGAAATGTTACACAGGTGTGTGCATTCTGATTCAACAAGCTAAAGGTTGTGTGTGACCTTGCACAGTTTACATATACTCTCTGAATCTCAATTCCTACATCTGAAAAGTGGGAATAAAAATATCTGCCTTGTGACACATATGCACTATTAGATACTATATATGAAACACACAACTAAGTATACACTGCAGTAATATAGAAAACTCTACTTAATGAACTGTGGTGACCTAAATTAGAAGGAAATCTGAAAAGGGGGGATATATATATATATGTATCAGTTCGGTTCAGTCACTCAGTCATGTCCGACTCTTGGCGACCCTGTGGACTGTGTATAGTTGATTAATTCTGCTGTGCAGTAGAAACTAACACAACATCGTAAAGCAATGCTACTCCCATCGAAATTAAAAACAAACAAACAGACAAACTCCAATGTCTGTCTTGCTGGGTTGTTTTAAGGGCTAAGTGGGAAGACTTTTGGAAATGTTCATAGAGTCATGTACAAGGTTATAGATGTCCAATGAATACAAATTCTTCACCCTGCCTCTCAGGGCCACGCAACCAGCAAATGAGACAATGACTACGAGACTGATTTTTTTAAATGCAGAGAACAGTGCACAGCTGAGGCGTCAGACATCTGGAAATCCATATGAGTGAACATCTTACTTTTCTTGTTCCCCAGGTCATATTTCCAACCTCCTCTGCAAACTCATCATCATTTGTAAGAAGGAAATTGTCAAAGAAGCTGCCTGATTTCACCTGTTGAAATGAAAATGATGGGATTATTAGAACTAGGTCGACCAGCTTAAAAAAATATCAACTGGAAGCTTTGCAAAATGCAGATTACCAGGCCAGGAGCCCAGTGATTTTAATCAATAACTGAGGTGGAGTGAGGGAATACAAAGGTGATTAAGAATAGAAAAGCTCCAGAATGCTGTACCACCTTAGCTGATCTGCTCTAGAAATAAGTTACTTTACTGTTTCCCAAGGTGCTATGTCCCCCAAGCCTCTGACAACTCTTTCAGAGGGTTGTGAAGAAATTTCCATCACTCTGTCAGGCTCCAAATTGCTGCCCAGTGGCTCTTGCCCCAGTTCAGATTAGTGGCATCTACCTCTGCTATCACTTACAGATGCCTTTTTAAGGTTCTCTCCTCAATGTAGTCAGAAAAACTAAAAGAATACAAGGAAAAGAAAAGTTCGACAAGAAGTGTGAGCACAGTTCTCTACCATATTTCTCTATTTTCTTAAAATAACATATTTAACATTTACAATTACAGAAAAAGATGAATTAGTCAATGGTATATAATAATTTCAGTGTTCATTGGAGTTCCCTGGTGGTCCAGTGGTTAAGAACCCAAAATTCCATTGCAAGAGGCACTGGTTCGATCCCTAGTCAGGGAACTAAGATCCCACATGTCATGAGGAATAGCTGAAAAAAATACTTTCAGCATTTTTCAATGATAAAGAAATAGAATAGAAAGAGCAGAGGTCATGGAGTCAGACCAGCTCAACCACATAGTGTCTGTGTGACTTTGGGGATGTTACTCAACTCCTCTGAGCCTATTCCCTCATAGTTCAGTTCAGTCGCTCAGTCGTGTCCAACTCTTTGCAACCCCATGGACTGCAGCATGCCAGGCTGCTGTCCCTGTCCATCACTGACTCCTGGAGCTTGTTCAAACTCATGTCCGTCGAGTCAGTGATGCCGTCCAACCATCTCATCCTCTGTCGTCCCTTTCTCCTCCTGCCTTCAATCTTGCCCAGCATCAGGGTCTTTTCCAAGAAGTCAGTTCTTCACATCAGATGGCCAAAGTATTGGAGCTTCAGCTCCAGCATCAGTCCTTCCAATGAATATTCAGGACTGATTTCCTTTAGGATGGACTGGTTGGATCTCCTTGCAGTCCAAGGGACTCTCAAGAGTCTTCTCCAACACCACACTTCAAAAGCATCAATTCTTGAGTGTTCAACTTTCTTTATGGTTCAACTCTCTTATTTGTATATGACTATTGGAAAAACCATACTTTGACTAGATGGACCTTTGTCAACAAAGTATCTCTCTGCTTTTTAATATGCTGTCTAGGTTTGTCATAGCTTTTCTTCCAAGGAGCAAGCAACTTTTAATTTCATGGCTGCAGTCACCATCTGCACTGATATTAGAGCACAAGAAAATAAAGTCTGTCACTGTTTCCATTGTTTCCCCATCTATTTTATTCCCTCTTAAGTGAAGTATTAAAAATAACTTCCTTGCAGTGTTGTCATGAGCATTAGAAATAATACATGTAAAACACAGTGTTTATAATAGTCATTTGATAAATGGTAAGTTTTTATCATAATTTTTCAGTATCTCCATATGTTTCAAATGAAACACAGGAGGGTCATTCTGGATTTTTAAACTTCAGCACTATGTTAAATAAATCAGCAAATTAGTTGTGTGAGAGCAGTTGTGTGACCAAGAGAAAGTTTGCAGCATGTGTTATCACCATAGCCTCCCTCTCAAGTTTAAAAAAAGTTTTGTTTTGCTTTTTTAAATAAAAAGGAAGTTTATTTGGCTTACATCATCCCACCAACCCTGCCTTCAGCAGAAAAATAAATGACAAAATAGCCACATTGGATAGAGATTGTTAATTTCCTCTGAGCCATTCAAAAAATTTGTTTTAATAATTTTTTTATGAAACTTTACAATTTTTTTCTTTGGGATTGTTTTTTCTTTTTTGAGTTGGATGTTTTGTTTTGTTTTTCTTTTTTGAGTTGCCAGCAGCCTTGGTTAGAGAACTGCTCATTTTTTGGCTCTTCCATTTTTCCTACTCCCACAAGAAATGTTTCCAATCTCCCCTGTTCTCTTCGGGTGCTCTTTTACCTCCATCCCCTTACACTAAACTCATGGCTCTGCCTCCAGCTGAGAATCAGGACATGAGGGCCAGTCCTGCTTCCTAAACCTCACTAATGGAGGGACCTCGGTCTACTCTATCCTTTCTGTGTCTCCATGTTTTTGTCTGGACAATGGAAGAATATATAACTTCCCTGTTTCCTTCACACACTTCTCAGGAGAGAACTTGTGAGAAAGACTTTTGTGAGACTATAAAGCCTAAAAAATTAATTCACTGAAAGTTACCTAGTTTCCTTGATGTCCCACTTGAATCATAAAATGGAAAGAGTATAGATTTAGCCACTTACTAGCTATGAGATCTTGACAAGTCACATGACCTCTCTAAGCCCTCCACTTCTTGGTCAATAAAATAAAGATGATAAACCCTACCTTCCAGCCCCATAGTGCTGTGACACAGACCATATGACCTAAGGAATGTCAGCGTGCTCTGCATTATGACTGTTAGGCTATACTCCTTCAAATATCATAAGGAGACCCAAAGCTAAGAGAAAGTATTTTCTTTGTTCACTGCCATCTCCTCCCAGGCTCAGTCCCAATGAAAGACGGTAGTATCTTCTGCCTAAGAGGGAAAAATAGAAGGAAAGAAAAGGAATTTTGTATGGAAGAGAGAAGGCTGGGTCGGGAACTAAGCAGAAGGGTTAAGAAACTTACTAGGCTAGGACCTGATGCAGAGGGTGATGGGTTCACAGAGTATTCGGAAACCCACGCTGGGCCAGTGAGCGCTTCCCCGCCCATTTCCATGCTGAGAGTCGCTAGGCTTTCCAGCGAGATTCAGGGATCCTGTGGTAAGCTGGATGTGCTGGATTGGCTGAGTGAGTGGGGTGGAGTAGGACTTGGGAGTGCCAGACCCAACTAGAACTTAACAGGAAATGATGCCTGCAAGGGTGATGTCAGCACTGTGCAGAACTGTGTTACAAGAGGAAAAATAGATAAAGAGATCTTGCTGGAGTTTCAGAAATGTTGTCTCTTAAGATTCATCCCAGACCTGCTGGATCAGAATCTGCATTTTATTAAGATCTGAGTGATTCATATGCATGTGACAGTTTGAGAAACACTCTTTCAGCATGGTTTAAATTCTCAAATAGGAAATTTTGCCTATTGGGGGAGGAAGATAGAACTCAGAGAAATTAGTGCCAAATAATTTTAATATTTTGTAAATGAACAAAGATACTGTTTAGTGTGTGCCTTAAAAAAAAACCCAATGCATTTTAAGGAAACAATCAGATTAGGCATGTTAACATGACCACATATTTTTACAAGATGTAGAAAGTTCCTATTATTAAAAAGGGACAGCTGAAAAAAAGAGGTAATGGGAATTTGCAGAGACTGTATCCATATTCTTTAGATAAGAAAGCAAAGAAAGAAGAACATATGTCCCTCTGTTCTTTCTTCCTTCCTTCTCTCCTGAACCCCTACTGTGTACCTGGTAATTTACCTACCTCATCTCCTTGCATTTGTATGCTGATGTCACTGAATCAGGAAATGAATAAAGTTGAAATAAATAATCCAAGAAAATTTCAAATAGCAGGTGTCTGTTCAAGAGACCTTTAGCAGCCCTGAACTGTAGAAATCACTGGTCAGAGACAGAGATTTCCCTGGCCATGGAACATTCCAGAATACACCCAAGAACCAGTGGCTTCACTTTCTAGAAGCTCCATTGTACAGTGGATGCAGTCAGTGAAGGACTTAGGCTGACAGGTCTTTGAATCCTGTCTCTCCCATGCACTACCTGTGTGCTCTTGGGCATATCACGTGGCATTTCTGATTCTAAAGTCTCTCAAATGTAACATGGGGTAATAATAAGCAGATAGTAATGTTTACTTTCCTTTCCTCTCCAAGGGAATTCCAATACTACAGAGATTGTAGTTTCCAAGGGGTCTCCCGGGCTAAAGTTTTCCCTCTGGGGCATGCTCTTGAGGTACCCTCTTCTCCTGAGCTGGGGAAGAATCATAATAGGTCTCATTGGAAGAAAACAACAATCTGATGGCCTGAGTTTCTGAGCCCCGCTCTTTGCCTTCCAGTCAGAGCCAGGAAAGGTAACTGGCAAAGAGGGAGGCGAGGTCAGGATTTGTCATCATGGCTGGGACAATCAGCCCCAAACTCTCTCTGGGGATTTAGCATTTCAGAGTTTTACCACATCTCTGATTCCCTTTTATCTCCAGAACTACCCCCCCCCCCCCCCCGCCCTCGAGATTCATATAGTTTGCATTCATTCTCATGCAAACTATTAGAAGACTGAATCTAGCCTCAGAAAGGCCTGTACTCAAATCTCAGCTTCTCTGCTTTCCAGATGTGTCTTCGGGCAAATTAGCTAACTTTTCTGAATGTCAGTTTCCACATTTAGGTACAGGGGATTTCATAATGAGAATTAAATGGCGTTTGCAGAGTCCCTGAAATAGAGCTTGGTACAGGGTAGAGACTCAGTAAATTTTAGACATTGTAATTATCAGGATAAATATAACTAGCCCCATTTTAAAGATGAATAGTTTGAGATTTAGAAAGAACAAGACTCATTCAGCTCTTGTAATTTCCAGACTGGAGCTCTCTCCACTTTGCGGAAACTTCAGAGGGACTGTTGTTCAATGGCTCTGAGCCCAGAGAGCTTTACCTGCCAAAGGTCCAGGCCAAGGACACTGATGTTGTAATGGTGGCAAATGTTGGGGTCAGGCTTATATTCAGGGTTGTCTATTTCTGGATGAATCCACTCCCCCTGGTAATTGGGATTGTCAGTGGTCCGAGGTTTCCATTGCCCCTAAGCAAAGAACCGAAGAGTGAACATGGCGTTAGTATTTTTCCATTCTTCTCGTGCAATTAGAAAGACTAATCAGTAAAAAAAAAAAAAAAAAAAGAAAGACTAATCAGTTTATAAAGACAATTGTGGATTAGGCATAAGGATTCAGAGCAGGCTTCCTGGAGCTTCTTTCCTTTTCTTTGAGCTAACTCACAAGACCCTTCCAAGTTCCCCTTTCTCCCCAGAGGGATCTGAACAAGGTGGTAGAGACCCATTATGAGCCTGGTCCCAGTTCTCTGTGCAAATTTGATCATGGGGTAAGGAAACGTAGCCTCATAGGGAACACCATCTGAGGACTCTGGACTTGGGGCCATTCTCTTCCTGGTGTGCAGCACAGGAAACTGGGACCAAATAAAACAATACTTATTTCAGTCAATTCTATCTCTGGACCATTTGATAGTTGATTGCTTTAGCTCCCTTTCACTTCCAACGTGAGGTCAGGACTTGGCCCTTAAAAAGAAGCCCGCCTACCCCAGCATGTTTGGCTATTCATGTCCTACTCTTCCCCTTTCTGGACCACTTCTGAGACTTCTGGTCCCTGACCCCAGACCCATTTCCTGTTTTGATCATGTTCCTTTGGCTGTTATCCACCACTTGGGACAAACTCCTTGCCTAGGGCTCCCTGGACCTCTGCCTCCCAGCATCAACCTTGACCAGCCCACCTGCTCCCAGCCAGACACAGCCCTGAGTACAGGGCCCAGATGAAGCTACAACCTTATGGAGGGAAACAGGGCAGGGGGCAGTGGGGAAGCAGAAAGATGACCACAGGATCTTAGTGTTTCTGTTCTGTAAATTAAAGTTTACATCTCTTCTGTCTTATTTCACACACTGATTGAAAGGTGATCCCCCCCCCCACCTCTCCACCGCACCACTGCTCACCTTATATTTCAAGTTTGGTATCAGGGGCCCTTCCCACTCCCCATCCATTGCTTCATTCCAGTTGTCTGGCTTCTTGGCATCCGGGTCAGGGATGTATTCAGTCTTCCCAGTCCTAAAATGAAATGTTCCTCCATGAAGACAGATGGGTGGGCCAGAATGAAACTGGGGTCCAGAGTACAGTCAAGTGGACCTGGCACCTTGCCCCTGCTGCTCTCCTGTCCTCACCCCTATGAAAGCCCAGCTCAGGACTCTGCAAACAAATCTGATACATACAACAGAGAAAAAGCCTTTAAGCAATCCAGCCTCTCCTCAAATTCTCCATCTTTCTGACCCTGACAACTTTAAGCTCAAAGAAGCTGGGAGTTTTCCTTATCCTGGCCCTCTCCCTTCCACAGTCATATGCCCCATTATTAGAACAAATCTTCTAGCCTGGGTCCCTCTTCCTAAAGACATGTTTTAGTGACCTGGTTTGGACACCAGCATGCTCCCAGGTCTGTATCAGTCCTCCTTTGTACCCCAGGTCCCTTCTATTTCCTAAGACAGAACTCCAAGTTACAGCCTGTCCTATCTTTCATATTTCTTCTGCTCTGGAGCCTCTGAAGTTCTGGTCTATCTACCTGACAGTTCACCTTGGTGCTGACCATTTCTCAGACTTGAATAAAGGCTTTGATGCCAAGCCCACTAGGCTCACAGTCATTCACCAGCATAAAGTTCTCAGGTTCCTGGGCTCTCTCAGCTGCTTTGTGGTTCTGAAATATTAACAGTCAGCATCTTATCCTGGGGTCTATGGACTTGATTGGTCCAGTCTACCTAAGTAGTTTCTACCTTCTCTAGGTCCCCTCAACAGGGAGCACAGAGGCCTGAGCCTCTCCCCTCTGCCCCAGGCCTAGATCCCTGACTACATCAGGTGCATGGCCCACACCAAGAGGAAGGGTCAACGGTTAGTCTTGCTGCTTTGAGCCTGCCTGCTCGGTCTGGAACTAACCCAGCCCATAATTTTCCCAGGGTACTGAAGGTCCAGACACTGCTTGATCATCTGCCTTAATTCCCTGACCATACCTCCCTCCTCCTGGGTTTGGAGCCCACTGAATCTCCTTACACATGGCTGGGCCTTGCCTACTTCTCTACAGGCCTCTCCTTAGGGAATGAATTCCGGTTGCTGGGTGCCATGCTGCTCCTTGATTAACCCTGAGCATCTTTTCCACATGAAGCTGAATCTGCTCTGCCCTGAGGAGCAGCAGCCCAGCAGGTGAGGCCCTCCATGACCCGGCTCCAACAGAACATTCCAACTCATCTCCCACTCACTCTCCACCTTGAACTTTATGTTCCCAAAATACTAAACTGCAGCTTTCAGTACTTCGCATAACCATGTTACTTTCTGCTTGAGTGATGTGTCTTCATACCTGCTGTGGGTCTGGAATATCTTCCCTTCAACTCAATTTCCCTTGCTCTAATGAATTTGCTCTTTGAAATTCAGTACATGATTAACATATAAATTCCATGTATTAAGGACTTATTATGTACCAGGCACTAAATTATATATATTAGCTCACTTAATCTTTACAACAACTTTCACATATAGGTATTATAAAAACCCTGTTTGTGAAATTTCATAGCAGCTAAGTTCCTTGCCCAAGGTCTGTTTATAGGTGGGATGTTATAGTTAGTAAATGGTGGTGCTCCCATACAAACCCATATCTGTCTGACCCCAGAGTCCCAACACCACCTACACCCCAACTCAGCCTGAATTAGGAACCTACTCATGGCTGCCCTGGAGAAGGAAATGGCAACCCACTCCAGTATTCTTGCCTAGAGAATCCCATGGAGGGAGGAGCCTGGTAGGCTACAGTCCACGGGGTCACAAAGAGTCGGACACGACTGAGCGACTTCACTTTCATAACTCCCACAGGATTTGACTTCCCTGACTCTCATCATTAATTACACAGTGACCTGCATCTGTGTACCTGACTGCATCCCTTACTAGATTCTGAAATCCAAGAGGATTCACAGTCCCTGAATTGTTCTATTCATAGCTGTATCTGATACAGCTTTCCAGTGAATAATAATGAATCAGTCCATATACTCCACACATTTCCCATTTCAGTAACTTTCGTGTCAAAGATATCCAGGTTCAAATGTCGGTTCTAATGTATATGAGCTTGGGCAAGTCACTTCATTCATTTTTAAGTGTCAGTTTCCTTATCCTCATCGAGGCTGCTAGCAGGATCAATAGATCCTGAACAAATGTGAGGTGCTTTCCTTTTCCCTCCATGCTTTTTGAATACCAGTATTTAACTGGATACCTCCTTGAGGGACTGTTGTTTCCCATTTGTGCTCCATTGTTCCCAGCCTTCTTTGCCCATCCCCACAGCTAAGATCCCCTGTTGCTTCCAAGGAAACACCTTCTGACCTCAGGTTTCTTATCTTCAGGATCTTCTATTTGCAGCCATTCATCCCATTTCCTTGGTTTCTGGGCATAGGGGGCTTTTATCTTCCTGGGAGGCGAGAAGACCCAGTCGTCCTCCACATCCCCAGCTGCTACTTGCTTATTGTCGATTTTGACCTCATAAGTAGCACTGGGGCGAATAATGAGAGTGTACAGGTGAGTGTCTTTATTGATCTAGAAAGGGTAAGAGGAATATTTCAGTCCCCTGTTGGACCTCAAGCATTAAATGCACCATCTAAAACATACCCTCAGTTCCTGAATGCTACCTCCCATGTAGTCACAAACACACTTTGCCATATTCTTCATCCTATTTCTTTGGTTAACCCAAAAGAGTCTTTGGGTCTCATTCTCCTAAGTACATACTCCTTTGGTCTCCCTTAGCTCCCATCCTTCCCTTCATCATAACTCTGGTCATTCTTTTTTCTTTTCCAGTTTTCTGTCTGTCCCACTAGACTCTAAGCTTCTCAATAGCAGGGTTCGTATCTGACTCATCTGCTATATCTGCATGTTATATTATATATGTTATACAACATATATAGGCCTATATACAACAAGGCCTACCCTGAGCAGGATCCCAGGGAGTCCCTGTATGTACAGCTCCTGTACTGACCTGGTAGGGAAGGACTTTGCCCTGAAAACAAGTTTTCCAATGACCCAGGTTCTAGGGGCTGCTCTGGACTCGGTCTCTGCCTCCCCCCTGTGCTCTAGTTGAGCCAAACTTCTTCAGTGCTACTCTTTCTCAAGCCTCCTCAACTTTTCTCATATGATTACCTCTTCTAGTAGCTCAATCCTTCCAAAATTTGTCACCATCCTTTACAAGGCCAATTTGTGCTCATCATTCAAAGTTCAGCTCAGGCGAAAACTTTTCTAAGAAGCATTTCCTAAGACACCAGGTCAGGTGGCGGTGGGGTCTCCTCCACGCTCTCATAGACCCCCATTACATTAAATAGTCATTCTCCTTTGTTTGACTCCTACCTTTACTAGACTCTGAGTTCTGTGAGACCAGAGGTCACGCCTAACTTACTTTATCCCCAGTCCAAGGCCTAATACAGAGTTGACATTCAGTAACTTCCTGTTAAGTTGCTAATGAAATCCAGCTATTACCCTCCAGCCAACCTAAATCTCTCTAGCCGAGATATTCCTAAGGTAAACTCACCACCTGTTTCTAAGTCCAGCACTCCCCACTTCCCCCATCTCTTCCAATTTCTAGCAGTGGGGAATGGGAACTTGCTGAGCCTTGTTCCAAGATACAACTTTATATGACTTCCTGTCTTTCAGATCAGTTTCTTCTGTAATTTCTTCTGTAAACTCCTGTAATTTATATCACTTTCTATTTTCTAATCTTCAAAATGGAGATGATAGTACTTAATTTACAGGGATGTTATAAAGATTAAATCAGATAACATATTCAAAATGCTTGCCCTTCTCCCAAGGCTAATGACCAGCCCACACACTCACCCTGCACTTGATGACCTTGTTGTTCTCATGGTATTTCCCTTGATAACGAAGGATGACTTGTACTTTGTTGTTGCCAAAGTCACAGATGTCAGGGCCTGGAAATTAAATCCCAGTGCATGATTTTACATCACTTTTAGGCAGTTTGCCTGTTCTGTGGCCAAAACAGACATGGTCTGTGTAATCATCAGAGTCCCAGCAGGAAATGGATAGCACACACAAATTTAGGATTATTTCAGAAGAACTTAATAAAGGGACTATTTTAAATAGTGGGAGCAAGACATTGAGGAAATATAAGGAATAATGCTATATTGCAGGCTAGCAACAGTAGGGCTATTCCCATCCCTAGGCTTGAAGGGGGGAGGAGAAGAGGTGGTTATCAGAGCCCAGGAAAAAAAAAAGAGTTCAGTAGAGAGGGCAGCCTGGAGAGAAGCTGTGACTTTCAATCAAGGGACACAATTCTCTTCCCTCCTGTGATCTTCTGCCAGGGCTCCCACTGACCAAACCTGCCAGGAAGCCCCTTCTGTGCCAGGCACGTAATAGCATGTCATTTAATTCTCACAAGTAGGTATTACTATCCCAACTTTTAGTTGGGAAAATTGTGGCCCATAAAAGTTAAGCAACTTGCACAAGATCAAACAGCAAATAAGTAGCATGGCCAAGATTTAAACCCAAGCTTAACTAGAAACAGAGCCGGGGACTCTTCCTGCATTGTGAAAACTTTAGAGGACACAGTTGGTGGTTCTGAGCCCAGAAAACTTAGACAAAGGTCCAAGAATAGGTTTTAATCTAGTTTTTCAACCTAATTTCTCATGATATTGCTCTCTGACTATCCTACACATGTGCCTGCATGCACAACAGACAAACGCACACACACACGCACAGAGTGTGTGCCGGCCACGTTGTTTTTCAGCCGCTCAGTCCTGTCCGACTCTTTGCAACACCATGGACTGCAGCACGCCAGGCTTCCCTGTCCATCACCAACTCCTGGAGATTGCTCAAACTCGTGTCCATCCAGTTGGTGATGCCATCCAACCATCTCATCCTCTGTCATCCCCTTCTCCTCCTGCCTTCAATCTTGCCCAGCGTCAGGGTCTTTTCCAAGAAGTCAGTTCTTCACATCAGGTGACCAAAGTATTGCAGCTTCAGCTTCAGCATCAGTCCTTCCAATGAATATTCAGGATTGATTTCCTTTAAGATGGACTGGTCTGATCTCCTTGGAGTCCAAGGGACTCTCATGAGTCTTCTCCACCACCACAGTTCAAAAGCATTGGTCTCATCGTTTTTCTACTTGCATTTGAATTTCATGCCCCCGAGCTTTTGTATACACAGTTTCCTATGCCTGAATTATATTTCCTCTATTTTCTTTTCTACTTATTAAAATCTAACCCATTCTTCAAAGATTAATTAATATATTCTCCCAAAAGCCCCCAGTTGGACTGAGTCATGCCATCTTTTGCAATTTCATGGCACCTCATCAACAGCTTTTTAAAACTATGTCTTTCATTCTGTCTTTTAAAACATGACTCATATGCCTGTGTCCCCAACCAAACAGAATACAAAAGGGTAGAGTAGAAAAAGCCCAGGCTTTACAGCCAGACACATTGGGTTCAAAATCTTACTTTCCACTTACTTACCTTGGGCAAATTTCTTGCCTTTATTTTCCCATTTATAAAATGGAGATGATGATAGCCCAATAAAACTTGTTGGGTTTTTTGAGCATCAAATAAATACTATTAATTTGAAAAAAAAAATCACGTTAAAAGAAACCTATTTCCAATTTCCCTACTACAACCACCATGCACATCTTCAAATATAAGTTCCTTGTGAGAAGGGGGGATTCTGAAAAAAGTAGAGGTGGAAGACACACACTTTAGAGCCCCAGAATGCTATATTGGTCTACATAAGAAAAGGATTAAAAAGATAAGAAAAACATTGAAATATAAGAAAGAAGGAGAGTAATGCTTGCTTCGGTAGCACAAGTAGTAAAGAAAGGAGTGTTGAGGGAGCAGTGATGCAGACAGAAAAAGGGTGAAGCAGCTGAAGAGGAGGATTTGAGGAAGGGCCAGAGAGAGATATGGAGTTCTTTGGGAATAGAAAAAAATATTTAGAGAGAATTTTAAGGAAATGTTGATGTATGATGTGTAGTTTAAACTTTTCCTCTGAATTTGTGCAAAAACATTCAGTAAAATCCACATACTTCATCAGTGATTTGGGAGTGGGATTAGTTGCTGTCATTTCTTTATTTTTAAATATCAACAACATTGAAGCTGGTCTAAGGGTAAGAGCTAAGTAAGAGCTGGACTGCCCCAAAGAGGCCCAGTATACTGAGGTTACAGGTGCATCACTGGATGCACCACAGATGTTGGATAAAAGCAATTTCCCTGACCTTCTATGTCTTTCTCTGCCTGGGGGGCAGGAATCTCCTTCAGACCACAAAGCATTATTGTATTACATCTGTACATTTGAGGGTGTCTGCATAGTTTCTTGTCCCTTTCTCCTATTCTTAGACGTAGACAATGTCTCTTTGTACTATAGCCTCATTAATACCATGTGACTCTCCACCTCTTTGATCTATTTATATTAACATTTAGGTTTAGAGTTGCTTTTCTCAGGTCTTTGAAGAGTCTTACCGCAGAGGGAGGTGGAGCTATCACATTAGAAACTTCCTGCTTCAAAGAATATGAAAAAGAATGTGTGTGTGTATAACTGGATATATTATACATATATATATATATATATCAGAGTCATTTTGCTGTAAACAGAAATTAACACAGCACTGTAAATCAACTATACTCCAATATAGTAAATGTTAAAAAAGAAATTTCCTGGTCCAGGTGCTTCTGAGCCTTTTCTGGAGCTACAGTGGCTCTCATTAAGATCTCACAGGACCAGGACTCCCCAGGTGGTCCAGTGGCTAAGACTCTGGGCTCCCAGCGCAGGGGGACCAGGGTTTGATGCCTGGTCAGGGGACTAGATCTTGCATGCCACAAGTAAAGGTTCTGCATGCCACACCTGATAAAGAAAAAAGAGATGGATGATGGACAAGCTGGAATCAAGATTGCCAGGAGAAATATTAATAACCTCAGATACGCAGATGACACCACCCTTATGGCAGAAAGTGAAGAAGAACTGAAGAGCCTCTTGATGAACGTGAAAGAGGAGAGTGAAAAAGTTGGCTTAAAGCTCAACATTCAAAAAACGAAGATCATGGCATCCGGTCCCATCACTGCATGGCAAATAGACGGGGAAACAATGGAAACAGTGACAGAGTTTATTTTCTTGGGCTCCAAAAATCACTGCAGATAGTGACTGCAGCCATGAAATTAAAAGACGCTTGCTCCTTGGAAGAAAGACTATGAACAACCCAGACAGTGTATTAAAAAGCAGAGACATTACTTTGTCAACAAAGGTCTGTCTAGTCAAAGCTATGGTTTTTCCAGTAGTCATGTATGGATGTGAGAGTTGGACTATAAAGAAAGCTGAGCACCAAAGAATTGATGCTTTTTAAGTGTGGTGTTGGAGAAGACTCTTGAGAGTCCCTTGGACTGCAAGGAGATCCAACCAGTCCATCCTAAAGGAAATCAGTCCTGAATGTTCATTGGAAGGACTGATGCTGAAGCTGAAGCTGCAATACTTTGGCCACCTGATGTGAAGAACTGACTTCTTGGAAAAGACCCTGATGCTGGCAAGATTGAAGGCAGGAGGAGAAGGGGATGACAGAGGATGAGATGGTTGGATGGCATCACCAACTGGATGGACACGAGTTTGAGCAATCTCCAGGAACTGGTGATGGACAGGGAAGCCTGACGTGCTGTAGCCCATGAGGTCGAAAAGAGTCGGACACGACTGAACGACTGAACTGAACTGAACTGAATGCCACAACTGAAAAAGAAAAAAAAAAAAAAGATCATGCATGCAGCAACTAAAATAACCTGCATCTTGAAACAAAGATTGTGCCACAAGTAAGACCCGGCACAGTTAAAAAAAAAAAAAGACCTCACATAGCTGACAGTGACTGCTATCAGAGCGCTTACAAAACATGACGTAATACTCTGATTCTGAATGCATATCCTCCTGGTTCAGGGTGTCAGGAAAGAGTTTCACACACCCACCACCGCAATCAATGCCTTGCTCATGTTTTACCGAAAACTGAACCACCAAGGTCTCGTTCTCATTGCTGAATGGCTTAAATCTGGTTGAGAGGGCATAAAACTTAGCATCTTCGCTGGTTTGGAGAGCTGAGAGCAGAGAGCACAGAATCTTCAGACTTCAGTACCCTAAAAGCAGCCACAGAAACCAAGCACTTGCTCTTACCAATTTCTGGTACCTTCTTACACACCTGCTGTATGCCAGGTACCGTCATGGCTGCTTTACACAAGATTTTATTCAAGCCTCAGAGCAATTCTGCAAAACAGGTACTATCTTCACTTTTTACAAATTAGGAGTCTGAGTCATGGGGAGGTGAAGTGAGCTGCCTAGGACCACATAGCTAGTAAGGAACTAAACTGGGATTTTTAAGCCATGTTTGACTGATTCTTTCTTTTTTTCAGCATACCATACTGCCTCTGATTTACAAGAGATACTTAAATACTGTTCTGAAGTTTTACAAAACATGGGGTTTCTACAGAGACCCCATGGGTGGCCAGAATCAGGCTTTGCTATTCACAACTGCTGTGGTAAGAAGAGGCCCAGCATGGCCTCTTAGAAGAAATAGTAATCATTGCTGACACCTATTGAACACTTCCTCATTACCATGCAGTATGTTTCATTCATGTGTGTCACCACTCATAATCCTCATAAAAACTCTATGAGGTGGGCCTTACTAATATCTCTACCTTGTTACGAAATCACTAAAGCTATTTTATTTGTCCAAAATCATACAATCAGTCTACTTAATTTCAGAGCCCCTAACCTGAGACTTTATCTCCCCATCCGGACAATACTGGAGCTGTAAGGGGTATTAGAGCCTTTGTAGTCTAAGTATATTGCTTTATAAATGAGAAAGCCAAGCTCCAGAGAGGGAAAGTTACTAATCTAAGATCATATATTCACAAGTAACATACACATAAGCCAATGTCCAGTCCTCCAAGCTAGTGTCTTTTCATTATTCCAAGCTGCTGCCCAGCTTTCTGGTTATGATTCTGTCACTTTAACGCTGAGCTTCAGCTTCCTTATCAGCAAAATGTAGATAATTAATCATACTCCAGAGGGTTCTCTTGAAAGTCAAATGGGTAAGAGATGTAAGAAGCACTTTGTAAACTGTCAATATAAAATGCAAGGGACTATCATTATTCATGCCTGATGAGGGTCCTTCCTTTACGATCCCACAACTCTTGGTACCTCCCTGGATCACATTATGTTGCAGTTAAGCTTATTTCAGTCTCTTTGAATAATTTTTAAACTCCTGGATTGCAGAGGACTCTTTAACATAAAGATCTAGGACAAGGTCCGACATAGAGGAAATGCTCAATAAATATGTGTTAAATTGCACAGAAGGATCACAGGTCCTGATTCAGATGTCTCTTGAGCATTTATTGTACACTAGGCTTTGTGCTAAGCACTTTCATGTCTGATATTGCATTAAGAGCTGTCTATATTTTAAAGCATATACTTACACTTAAGACTTCACCTGTGGTCCAGTGGTTAAGAATCCACACCCCCCTTCCAAAAGAAGAATCTGCCTCCCAATGCAGGGTTCAACCCCTGGTCTGGGAACTAAGATCCCACATGCTGCAGGCCAAGTAGGCCTGTGTGCCACAACTAGAGAGCCCTCATACTGCAGCAAGAGAGACAATGAGAGAAATGTGTGCCGCAACCAGAGACAGCCCACCGGCCACAGTGAAGAGCCTGCCTGCTGTAGCAAAAACCCAGCGCAGCTGAAAAAAAAGTGAAGTGGATGCTTATTTCCCCAAAGACCTCAGGAAGGCCAGAGTAGTCAGAGAAGGCTTCATGGAGGAGGCATGGGCACAAAGGCAAGAGTACTAAACCCACGGGCAGAAGACCAAGCCTTGAATCTCCACTCTGCTGGATGTAGCTATGTAGCCATGTGATTTCCCTGCTCTCCAAGCCTCCTTTGTATCCAGAGCCCTTTAAGACAACCAGGGACACCTAATGAACCTGAATGGGATGAGATATGGGGCAACAACCAAGAAGTCAAGCTGAGAGGAGGTGGGTGGCTGTGCACACTGCCCTCAAGAGTCCTTCAGACAGTCTCTCTGTTCTCTCTCTGGAAACAATTTTCCAGAGTGGATTTTAATGAAATTTTAAAATGTACAAGCCAATTCGTAATTCTCTCCTTTAATAAACATGAAAATGAGATTCACAGTAGTATCCAGGAGAGAGAAGATGGGAAATCACTCCAGAGGACAATCAATGGATTCTATTTATAGGACAAAAGCTTTCTCAGACAAAAAAAAAAAAAAAAAAAAGACTTTGCCTAGCGTCCCCCTTCCCTCATAAAACATTATGAGGCTCTTACAGCAGCCCTGCCTAATGAATGGTAGATGATGATTAGTATCTCCATCTAATATCAAAGCTCAGAGAAGTGAAAAGACTTGCCCAAATTATGCAGCTAGCAAGTCATGGCCCTAGGTCTGTCTGCTCAATTCTCCATCGTAGCAAGCAGCTCTGGGGGAGAACAGTATTGGGGGCTTATATAGTGCTGTCCCCTTTTTCAAGTGCAGAGTGTTAAATTTAAAAAAGCTTAGGATTGGGGAAAGCAGTATAGTCCTGGGTAATGAACACAGTCTGGTGTCAGATTTAGAATCAAGTCTCAGCTTCACCTCTTGCCAGCTGTGAATATAGCCTTGGGCAAATTGCTCAACCTCTCTGAGGGCCTCTGCAAAATTGGGAACCTAATAGTAACCTTCTCAATGGAGTTGTTAGGAAGATTAATGGGATAATGTGTCTAAGGACTAGTTTTAAATACCTGTTATTCAATAAATACATTATTTTTGTAGAGACTTTTCTCCACCTACTACTTCTTTTTATACTAAGAAAAAAAAATAAGTTGATAATCATGAATAAAAACAGTTGTATCGAAGTCAGAACTTTCCCAATGAATTAGTATATTTCTGGATTCTTGTAATTACCTTTATCCTTTTCTTTGTCTCCGTAAAACTTTCCTGCAGTGAGCTGAAATTTGCCATAAGTGACCCATGTTTAGATTCCATCCATTGTTTTTTCCTTCTATCTATGGGATTAAAGAAGAAAAAAAGCAGCGTATAGAAATGGTTTGTGTATTTTAAAGACATTGAAATGCAGCCAAGGTTGATCAAGTCTTTTGAAGACAGTAAGGGGATATCAGAAGGTAACTCCAATATTCCTGTAAACCCCCTCACTATCCGATGCCTGAACCCACTTTTCATGTACTGTTATGTAGTTAGCGCTCCATTAATGCTCTAACACACCCTCCCCTATGAAAGTTAAATTATGAAAATCATTACAGGAATGTTTGGTAAAGTACCTTTATGGTTGAGGGACTGAGTGCTTATACATATTTATGTCTAGTAAAATAATAAAATTGCTTACCAAGTAAAGAGATTAGCAATGTCATTTTATACTTCTTGAATTAGTAATGATGATATTGAACAATCAATTTCCCTTTACCTTTTTTATTGCTTAAACTTTTTAGACTCTCCTCTGCAGTTTCAAGGAGATGCTGATAAATTTGTTTTGCTTTGGCATAGATGGCATACAGACAAAGAAGCATTCTTTTGGGACCCGGCACTCCTTCCAAACGTTCAGTGCCTGTCTGATTTTATGCCTCAGAATTGCTGACTCCCACTTCTTGGACCCACCACGATCTCAGAGTCATGGGGCAATTTGGCAGCTTAAGATGAAAGAGGCATTGAGGGTAGCTTTCATTTCATCTCCTCCCTGCAGCTGAGTCAGTCTTTCTCAGATACCACTACCTGATATCCAGGATTATTGCCTTAGCTCTGCCCATGAAAAGCCCATTTCAACATACATCCAATAATACTACCCTGAGTGGCTCTCTTGGCTCCTATTACTTAAGTCTAAAAACAAACTGCCTCAGTGGTAAAGAATCCATCTGCCAATGCAAAAGTTGCACTGAGACATGGGTTCGATTCCTGGGTCAGGAAGATCCCCTGGAGGAGGACATGGCAACGCACTCCAGTATTGTTGCCTGGAGAATCCCATGGACAGAGGAGCCTGGCGGGCTACAGTCCATGGGGTTGCAGAGTTGGACATGACTGATCACAGAACACAACAACCTCCCTTCTTGAGGCCTAGGGGCTTGCTTTCTCTTTTGTCTTCCCTTGTTGCTCCTAAGATCTCAGTGTTAGGCCAGAAAATGTCAGTGACCACCTCATCCATCAATCCAAGGGAGGGACCCCAGAAGGTTCTTTCTGCCTCAAGTTGCTGTGGCTTGAAAGAAGCTTCCTTGACCATAGCTGACCCAATGAAGGATAAGAATTGATGTCAAAGTCAAAAGATTTGTTATTACGTGTTAGACTTTTACGTGGCTCACTAAAAATTTCTCCTCATGTACTCCCATGGATGATGCTTTAAGATAGGTATTATTAGTTCCTTTTTTTCATTTAGTAGGTGGCGGACCTGAGATTTGAATTTACATCTGTCTGATTTCAAACCTCTCCTCTCTTCTAGAAGGAGAAGGAGATGTAGGGAAAAGTGCTATGAAGAAAAAAAACTTGTATAATCATAATAATAGCTACTGTTTAGTAACTACATGTCAAGCATTGTACAGAGGGCCTTACATGCATTATCTCATTGTTGTCTCATAACTGGGGCTTTCCTGGTGGCTCAGATGGTAAAGAATCCACCTGCAATGCAGGAGACACAAGTTCAAGATGTGGATTCAATCCTTGGGTGGGGAAGATCCCATGGAGAAGGAAATGGCCACCCACTCCAGTATTCTTGCCTGGAAAATCCCATAGACAGAGGATCCTGGTGGGCTACAGTCCATGGGGTCACAAGAGTCAGACACAACTTAGTGACTAAATCACCACCACCACAGTCTCATAATAGCTCTATGACAAATGTTCTATTTTTTCCCCAATTCAAAAGATGAAGAGAGTGAAGCTCAGAAATTTGTCCAAGAACCAAGTCTGTAAGTTAAGTGTGGTAAGCAGGGTTTGACCCAGGCCTTTGTAACATCAGAATCTGTACTTTTGGGACTTCCTTGGTGGGCCAGTGGCTAAGGCTCTGCACTCCCAATGCAGGGGCTCTGGGTTCAATCCTTGATCAAGGAACTAGATCCCACATATTGCGACTAAGAGTGCACATGCCACAAGTAAAGATCCTGCATGCCACAATAAAGAGTGAAGATCCAGGGTGCCACAACTAAGAGCTGGTGCTGCCAAATAAATAAATAATGTT